GGCAAACAGCCCCACCCCTTCGGAGGCTCCAGGCCCTTCTCAGCCCGGTTGCTTTGCTTCAGGGACCCGACCCTCTCACCTTGGGTGGGTCTACATTGAGCACGGGGCAGTGTGGTCTGACCTCAGCGCCAGCATGGGCAGCCCTCCCGCTGCCGGCCCACAGCAAATGCTCACCTTCCGACCGTGAAGATCTCACAGCAGGGGCTCCTGGTGCCACAGCGCGGGTTTGCAGGCTCCCCTGGCCCGCTTTCACATGCACACCTCCAGGAAACGCAAAGCCACGAGCGCGCACGTGCAGTGGGGCGGCTCGCTCAGGGGCTGCTCCCCGCCCTGGGCGGGCGTCGGGATGCACCAGGCCCCAGTGCAAGGGGACAAAGCGAGCTGCGGGCTCTGAAGCCGGGGCATCCGGCCGAGCTCTGGCACAAACCTGCCTCTCCCTGAACCCATCGCCCCTTCTTCCCCATCCAGTGACGGGGAGACCGCATGGGACATCCAGGAAAAGCCAAGGAAGGGAGCCCTACTGTGAGGACCAGTCCTCCTCTCTGGAGAAGAGCTACGAAGCTGCCTGATGGACAAGTCATCCCTACAGGCCACAGGCACTACTGCCGTCCCAACGCCCTCCTCCAGGCCTCCTTTGTGGGCAAGTCTGTGTCCCCGCAGGACGGCCACGCCTCCATCTTGGCCTTCTCAACTCCAGTCCCCATTTCTCTCAACAGCCCCCCGCATGGGACAGAAGGAGCCCCTCAGGTTGGCGAGAGGACCGGCCAGCGTTGTTTCTCTCGGCCAAGCCCTGAGAGGGAAGACTGGGCCTTGAGACCGACAGGTGCCTGGATCTACCAGGCGACGTAGAACTCCATCACCAAGTGTGACGCTGACATCCACAGAGCCCCGTGTGCTGACAACATTCCGCCCGGGTGCCACCAGGTGTCTGGGCATTGCAGGCTGGATGCGGAAAATCACGGTCCCGGGCACCATGAAGATCAAGGTTGTTGAACCCACCACCTGACCACTTTCAAAACCTGGTAGTGGAAATCGCGGGGCGACCAGCTTGCTTCCACTGGCAAAACACAGTCCCTTTCAAACCAGCTCACGCTCTGACTGAAACCTCACGCTCTGACTGAAACGGAAGGCTTGTCATGCGGGAATGGTGCCTATTGCTCCTTCTGCTCATGGGAGGCATGTCAGCAAGCACCACTTGAGTGAAGAAGCTTCCGTTACAGCTGCAGGGAGGGCTGGAGGCAGCCACTGGAGGACCAAAGAGCGGTCCGGGCCCCTCAAGGAGGTGGGCCCAGACCCCAGGCAGCAGGGACCAAGGAAGGGCCCCCATACCCTTTCAACTTGCCATTTGCCCTGGGGCAAGGGGGTGGTCATTTTTTTTTTTTAAGATATTTATTTATTTGAGAGAGAGAGAGAGAGAGCACAAGCAGGGAGAGCATCAGGCAGAGGGAGAGGGAGAAGCGGGCTCCCCGCGCAGGGAGATGTGGGGGCTCCATCTCAGGACCCCGAGACCATGACCCGAGCAAAGGCAGACGCCCAACTGACTGCGCCACCCAGGCGTCCCAAGGGGACAGTCATTCCAAGGAACTCCTGCCTAGGATTAAAACAGCCTGCAAGGAACAAAGAACTTGGGGGGGTGGGGCAGAATTTTGTCACATGGGAAATCTGTTGTATGATTAGCCCAGGGAAATGCTCTCTCCCTTCCCAAGGATTGTGATGCTTTTCTTCGTGCCCCCAAGATAAGGCAACAGCACAAACCATCCCCAGGTGTCCTCCCATCACCTGGGGACTGTCTCACCCATCCTGACACCCACTGGACAGCTATTAACCCTGCTCCCCTTCCCCAGATCATTGCCCTGCCGGAGCACAAATACTCCCTGTGGCTTGGGGCTCCTCCTATAGCCTCCTCCCTCTCCACCTCCCAGCAGATAGGATCACCAAGCAGAAGCAAGGCGAGGCTGCCCCCTCCAGTGTCCACAGGAAGTGCTTCTGAACCCCAGCTCCTAGCCTGCTTCCTGCCTCTCCTCCCAGCTCACCCTGGGCCAGGGACTGGCAGGAGTTGTGCCTGGGAGAAGCTGCGTAGCTCCATCTGTCACATGCCAGGGGCCGAGCCTCTCCCAGCCCGTACTTTCCTGTCCTATCAGGCCTGACATGAGTTACCCTTCCTTTGGGCCTTTGTCTTTTGTGAGCGGAGGGAAGAGGGCTTTGGAATCTTTTTAATATTCGGAGTAACCCAATAAAGCAAAAGGAAGGAAAGAAACACTGACAATCTATTCAACTCCCGCACAAGTGCACTGGAATTTACGTTTAGCCAACGATGTCAAATGTCACAATGCCTGCCTTGGGACTCTGTCCAAGATGCAAAGCAGGCATCCCTTGCAAGACCTTTTACCTCTACCCAGGGCCAGTGGCAAGTGGCACAAACACACGCACTCTCAGTCCCCGTCCCCCCACCCCCCCCACCCCCGGCTGTTTGCCCTAGACACCCTGAAGTTTCCTCAGGCCAAGGCTTCTTTCACAGCAAGGGGGGTGGGGCCTCACAGCTTCCTGCCTCCCAGGGTTTCAGCCCAGGCCCAAAGCTGGGAGAGTGTGAAGGTGTCCCCTGAGACCACACTGCCCATGGCACCCCAGCATTAGGACACGATCCCAGCAGCTGAACAAAGTGTCTTTTATTTGTGACATACAATGCAAAAAGAGATCACCTTTGTGACAACCAATGCAAAAAGAGATCACCTTTCCCTTTGATTCCAGTGATAACAAGTTGCTAAAGAAAAAAAAAAATCAAGAAGTTTATCTTCAGTTTCCTCTAAAAAAAACCAGAAAGGGTTAAAAAGAACCATACACATGTCATATACACATTTGACATCAACAAAAAATAACCTGAAATAGAGTGGATACAACTAAAAAAAAAAAAAAAAAGTCTTAAAAAATATTTTAACATGCCCCAAACAAAACACACAAAAAAGCCCGGGAACAAAAGGCCTGCTCTGTTTCTCAAAACCAAGACCTGGGGAAGTGGAGAAAGACTGATGTTTGAGAAGTGAACGGGCTCAACACCACAACGGAGGGAGCTGCTGGTCTCCTGCCCCAGCGCTGGCCCCCCAGCCACCCTGCAGGAAACGGCCAGCAGAGGCTGCAGGAGCAGGTACCAAGCACCCCATCTACCAATGGGCTCAGTGGCAGGTGTCCAACGAGTGGAGAGAGACAACATACACTGAACTCACCTTATGAGGAATTTACAGTGGGGTTCCTTTTGATCCCCTTGAGTAGGAGGTATCAGAAATCCATGATCTAAGACAATAAATATCTGTTCTGCATCGACAGACAGTAATCAGAGGAAAAAATTCCTAAACATGCTTCTGTCATTCCATGATTCTTGGAAGGAGCCCGCCAATGCTCTCCTCCCAGCAATTTAAAATTCTCCCCGCCCCTCCCCCCACGTAGAATGCCCCGGGAGCTGGAAGGTAGGGACAGAGATGGGCTTATTCCAGTGTAAAGCAGCAAGGCCCTCCCCAAGGGAGGGCCACATCCGCTGCCTGCGGCGGGGTCAAGAGCCACAGAGAGCACTCTGAGGGCGGGGCTGGGTGGAGGAGGCCGTGTGCACAGCCCCCCTGCCCCCTTGCAGGAGCAGGAAAGTGGGGAAGCGAGATCAGCTCTGGGGAGACCCACCAGCAGAGACCACCTGAGTCAGGGCAGAGGGTGGGGTCTGAGCAGGCTCTGAGGTCAGAACAGACAGACCTCCAAGTGAGCAACTCCGCAAAGGCTAGAACCTTTAAGACACTCCCTAAAGCAGAGCTCAAGGATGTCCAAGGGGAGGCGGCAGGTGCTTTTTCCTGGATAAGGATTTGGTCATTTTCTTCCCTGGAAGGGGTGCAAGGCCCAGAGATCAGGGCAAGTGTAAGCTCTGACCCACAGCCTCTCTATCCTGTGAAAGAAGAGGAAGGCCGCCGGCCCAGCTCCAGTCTGCTGCCACAGGGTGATGCTGGAGAGAGAGAGAAGAGCAGTGGTTCTGGCCACCGAGAGGCATTTCTGCTGCAGCCTGAGCTGCCAGCCAGGGCAGTGGCACCAGGCCTCACTGAGGCAGCAAGGGGCAAGGCTGGGGAGTGCAGGCAGTGGGGCCTGCTGCTGGCTGGGGGCTCTCTGCAAAGGGCAGCGCCACCTTCAGAGAGCGATCAGCACCAAGATATGAGAGGCAGTAGCACTGAAGAGGCCAGGAACGAGGGGTCCTTCTGGGGGAAGATGGGGGGGCTCCCTAATGTAATCTTCCCCCCTTGAGAGTAAGAATAGAGGTATCGGGTGAGGTGAGCCGGGGGACAAGTGGTAGGAAGGCGACGGACAGGAACCGGCAGGACCTCTGGCTTGTTTCTGTGAAGGGAGAGCTCGAGTCGCCACCAAGAGATTAAGAGGTTCATCTAGAATGCAGCAAAGTCCGAAAACCCAGAGAAGCAGCTCTCTTCCCGGGGGAGCCCCCCCAGCCCCCATCCAAACCTTGTTCCCGGTCCTCTCATCCTCTCACTGACAACGAGGCAGAGAGGGATGGAGCCTCCCTCCCAACGGGCCGGTCCCCTGGGATGCCTCCACACTAACTGGGGGTCCATGAGAGCACAGCTAGAAAGAGCTCCCTTGCTTCCCAGCGTTGTGGCACAAAAGACCTCCCTGCAGTCCCCATCAGAGCATTCAGCTACGGAACAGGACTCTCTGCGAAGCCTATCTCTATGTTCAGATCTTGCACTCAGTCCATTCCTCGTTGGGGACCAGCCAGACCCTGACCCAGGGCTCTGGGACTCTTATAAAGGTGGGCATAAAACTCCCCATTTGTCCAAGTGTGTGTGTGTGTGGCAGGGGAGGGGGGGCTTGTCAGGAATCCATCTGCAGAGAAGCTGGGGAACCTCACGCTCAAGGGCTCAAGGGCCGAGCGAGAAGGCAGCCGCTGTGAGAGGTCCCCGTCACGCCCGGCCTCCGTCAGCTCTCCCCCAGCACCCTCTCCTCTCTGCTCCTTCAGGGCACTCTGTTCTTCTAGCAGAGCGGAGAACGGGCAGCTCGGACCACTCCACCCCAGGGTTCTGTGCTCTCAGGCTGCAGCCTGGCATGTGCAGGGCTGAGGAGGCCACAGCTCTGAGGGCACTTGGCCAGCAGCATGAGCCCAGGGAGAGGACAGGCCTTGGAGAGAGCATTCTAGCTTGGCAGCTCAGTGGCAGCAGCCGCCACAGTGCCCGCCCGCATGGGAGTGCTGGCTGTCCCCAAACTTGGTCCTCCGGCTCAGGATCTCGTAGGAGCAGTCCTCTCCACAGCAACCAGACATGCTGGGGGAAGAGTCATCGATTTCAAATCTGCAAGGAAAGCAAGAGGAAAGGCTTGGCTGCAGGTAGCTGACTGCCTTCCTTCCTAGCCCAGGAACTTTTCCACCCGCCACACTCATGAAAGCCCTAGGAGTGAGGGCGCAGCAAGAGGGCACGCCCACGCCATCTCACCAACCCCCAGGTTACTCCCACGGACCACCGGACCGGGAGCTCCGCCTTCAGGATGAAGGAGCGCCAGGACCAGTAAAAAGGCCCTGGGGCAGGCACCCCCTACCCCCCAGAGGGCCCCACACCAGGACACCAAGGCCCAGCTCCTTACTGCAGCGCTTCTCTGAAGAACTGGTAGGCGCCATGATTGTGCTTAAATACAGTTAACATAACTTTCTTCATCTGTGTGCTGAAAAGAAAGCAGAGAGAACACCTTCCAGAAAGAGAAACAGACGCTAACTCATGCCTCTCTTTCATGTCTCTGCCTGCTGTCTCCCATTTGCTCCCGAGAAGTGCTCCTCTGAGCCCCAACTCTAGCCTCCACGCTGGGCACACACAGCACACCATGCTTCTGTTACAGGGCTGACCAGACTGCACGGGCATCGGGCCCCCACCCGACTGCTTCTCCACCTCCTCTCTGCACCCCACTATTCAGGCACAACAAGGGCTCAGAAGCACTTGCTGCATTGAGCCACACGTACAAAATCTGGAGTCACAGCAGGGCGGGGAGTATCTTTACTGAGAGTGTTCTAGATGCATTTCTTCCGAAACATTCCTATGAGCCTTACCCACGGAGGCTCAAAGAACAGTGGATGGCTCAGATGCAGATCCCTCCAATGGAATGACACACGGGGTGGGGGTGGGGGACGCCCTTACCTATTGGCCATGAGCTGCAGGATCTGTATGAGGAACTTCCCTAGGCCTTTCCGCCGCACCTTGCTTTCCAACTGCACTTCATAGCTGCATGAAGAAAGCAGCGAAGTGAGCACGGGGAGGCAGGGCCCATCAGAGGAGCCTGGGGCCCTGGGAGCCCGCAGACCCACACCGGCACAGTGGACTCTGCCGCCCGGCTGAGTGCCTAGAGCGGCGCCGGTGTGCCCTCCCCACGGCCTACCCCAAGCTGGGGCTCCTACCAGTACAGGACTTCATCCCCGCACTCCACGTCAAAGCGGAAGTGAGAAAAGGCAACAGGAACCGAACTGCTTTCCCAAGCAATGAGGTACCAGGCTCGGTCATCCGTCATTTCCTCGCGTTTCTCTCGGTCCTTCCAGCCCCATTCGCTTTGCTCATACCTGGGAAATGTCGGGGGAGTCAGGGCGGGGCAGCCCAGAAGGGGAGGAGTGAGGCTCCCCTCCCGTCGGGGTGTGCTTACATGGTCTGCATGTTAGTTTTGGTCAGGTCGAAGGCCCAAGCCACAGTGGCCGGCTCCAGTCCAGACACTCGCTTACACTCGATGGAGACGTTTAACCTGAAGAAGAGGGAAAGGCGGCATGTGGAGCCGGCGCAGGCCCGAGGGCGGCCTGCTGCCCTGATGGCCTCACGGTGCAGTGGGCCCAGTCTCAGTTCACCCACAGAGAAAGGCCGAGCCTGCACCCTGCCTTGCGGGACGTGACTACAGAAGGTGCTGCTGAACAAAGCCTTTTGGGCTGAGATTAACAACTGTCATGGCCGGGCCACCACCCTGACCACAGTCCCATTTCCTGCCTGCCCTGAGAGGCCCTTATCAGCCTCAGAACTTTGTACACTTCCATCCCTCTCCGCTACCTCTTTGCTTTTCCCAGCCTCTCTTCTGCACTTTCCTATAAACACTAGACTCTTCTCAGTTCCTCTAGTTCCTGCCCTTAGGCAGTTAGACTCTGAACAGACTCCTCACCAGCAGCTGGAAAGTGGCTGGGTCACCTCAGGCCCTTTGAGAAGACCATGGTTCATAACCCCCCTGAGGGGTCCTGCCTGCAACTTCCTTTGAGGAAACAGTGGGTCCTCTTGGCTGACCAAACAGGGTAGGGCAGGGTCCAACCCCACACTGTTTTCCTATACCAACACATGCTGTAGACATTAAGGTATCGTAATCTATTTACTTCTGAGGGAAACGTTAGTAAATCACAGTTCAGCTCCTTGGCCAATCTCCAGGCAGTGCTGCATTCTGACAGGACCGAAGTCAGTGACACGAAGTCCTTAGAGAGGTCCCAGGTCAGGACCTTCCAATGGCCCTTGACACGACCCCTCAGAGGACGTCCCCCTTGGAAATGCCTGTCACCTCTGCTGTCTGGTCTGCCATATGAGCTGCACGTGCGCTCAGCCTTATACATTCGGAACTTCTTGGCTCTGAAGAGTCTTCCTTTCTTTGTAAGTACTGACCATGTCGTAGTCAGAAACACCCCAATACGGCCATCTGGCTCAGCCGTCTATTTTCCAAAGGTCGGTCTGCAGGTATGAATTCTCCACTAATCTGAGTTTTTTTTTTTTTTAAGATTTTATTTATTTATTTGACAGAGAGAGACACAGCTAGAGAGGGAACACAAGCAGGGGGAGTGGGAGAGGGAGAAGCAGGCTTCCTGCTGAGCAGGGAGCCCGATGCAGGACTCGATCCCGGGACGCTGGGATCCTGACCTGAGCCGAAGGCAGGCGCTTAACGACTGAGCCACCCAGGCGCCCTTTTTTTTTTTTTTTTTTTTTTAAAATTTTTTTTTTTTTTAAAGATTTTATTCATTTGACAGAGAGAGACACAGCGAGAGAGGGAACACAAGCAGAGGGGGTGGGAGAGGGAGAAGCAGGCTCCTGGCTGAGCAGGGAGCCCGATGCGGGACTCGATCCCGGGACGCTGGGATCCTGACCTGAGCCGAAGGCAGGCTCTTAACGACTGAGCCACCCAGGCGTCCCTCTCTCTTTTTATTTCAGTTCTTTAAGTACATGAAAGCAGGATCACAGCCACACAAATCACACAGAATCCCAGGCACCAAAGGAGCCTAGAGGCAGCTGGCAATGCCTGCTTCAGGACTGCTCCAGTGTTTCTGAAAGTCAAGAGGAGCGTGGGGTATGGAACATGAGAAGACACCACAGGAGGGGTCTCTAAACTGTGTCAGAGGACTTCGCAGACAGTGAGTGGCATGGCTACTGGAGGAGCTGCACTACGTCTGGAGGAAAAGTTAATGTGATACTATGCAATTCAGACAAAGCTACGAAAAGCAGATATAGCGTCACCTACTAAACTGTTCGTTTCATAATTCATATATTTACATCTATCTTGTTCACTAAAATACTCATACCAACTGCTACTTACAGAACTGGATATAATGCTCTTTCCTCCTTAAAATGACCTTCCAAGTTTGGCATCATCACTCCATTTAACGAACCAAAAAAATGCGGCTTAAGGAGTGTGGCTTGTTTGAATACAGTTAATCAGAGGTACAGTTTTGATTGAAACCCATAGCTGTGATTCTCTAAAACCATAACCCCTGTTTTTCCCTAAGCCAAAGTAGCTCTGGTAAGACTGATTATGCTTCCTATTCTATAAACCAAAAGGACAGAAAGGGGAAGGGGGCTTTCACCCAGATCCTACAGCAGTAAACTGGATTAGCAACAATAACAAGTAGTAATAACAGCTAACACTGACCTAGGTTTTGGTAAGCTCCAGGCACAAGCACTTTATACCTAATCCTCCTGATGAAACCATTTATTATTAGACCCACTGCTGATTAGAAAATGGAGGTACAGAGAGGTTACGTCCAGGGTCCAGGGTCATACAGCCTGTAAGTGGCTTTTAACAATCATGCCATACACTCCGGGAAAGAGCCCTAGATTGGGAATTAAAAGCCCCCTCAGCAGCCAGGGAGAAACTCCGTGGCTCAGAAATTTTATTCAGCTTCTCTGAGTCTTGGTTCCCCCCTGCATATAAGGAGGAAGTCAGCCTAGATGATTTTTCAAGTTCATTTCAGCTCTACTATTCTTCACCCGGAGAGAATATCAAATCCTAAAGAAACATCAGTCTAAGATTATGCAATCTTTGTTCATTTATGGATTCCTCTGTCACCCTAACCAGGGGCTTTTATATCAACAAGACACTCGCCATAGCTTCTCCTTTTTCCTAACAAAGAATGAGAAAATTTGGGTCGGAGGAAGCATACTCTGGGAAGATGAATTCCTTCAGACACTCAACAGTTAGGAGTGCTAAACACTTACCCATTTCGATCGTATTTCTTGAACACTGGGAAAGCCTCCAGAGGGTCTCCGAGCTGTGGAGGGAAAGAGAAGAGGAGTAGCACAAACACACGCATGGCGCAGTCAGACTCTGCCCGGAAGTGAGACAGCGTGCAGACCCACAATGGGAGGCTTAGCTCTCGGCCCAGGAGCAGCCCCCAGACAGCCTCTCCATCTGCCTCAGCTCTGAAATCACATGTAGGGAGGTTCTAGTAAGGAGGCCCAAGGGAGTTAAGTCAGCGCGTCATTTCACAAGGTTGGGAGAGACTCTACTAGCCTAATACTAATACTAGCCTATAGGTCACCTGACCCAAAAGACGGGAGGCCACTTGATCCACCTGCATTTTTTTTTTTTTTAAATTTTAAGTAGGCTCCATGCCCAGTGTGGGGCTTGAACTCGTGACCCTGAGATCAAAAGGCACCTGCTCTACCAACTGAACCAGCCAAGTGCCCCATCCACCTGCATACTTTTTCTTTCTTAAACATTTAAAAAAATTTTTATTTATTTATTTTTGAAAGAGAGAGCACACCCCAGGGGGAGGGGCAGAGGTAGAAAGACTCTCAAGCTGACTCCACACTGAGGGCAGAGCCCAACACAGATCTCATGACCCTGAGATCACGAACTGAGCCGAAATCAAGAGTTGGATGCTTAAATGACTGAGCCACCCAGGCACCCCTCAACTGTATAGTTCTAAGAAGCCCCCAACTAACTTCACTGGGTCAATGGCACAATCATGTCTCTGAACCACCTCCTTATAAATGTGGACTGTTTACTGGGTGGGCTAAAAAAGTAACAGAAGGGGCGCCTGGGTGGCTCAGTTGTTAGGAGTCTGCCTTCGGCTCAGGTCATGATCCCGGAGTCCTGGGATCGAGCCCTGCATGGGGCTCCCTGCTCAGCGGGGAGTCTGCTTCTCCCTCTCCCCCTGCTCATGCTCGCTCTCACTCTCTCTCAAATAAATAAAATCTTAAAAAAAAAAAAGTAACAAAAAACTGGGTGCCTCAGTGGATCAGTCAGTTAAGTGTCTGCCTTTGGCTCAGGTCATGATCCCAGAGTCCTGGGATCAAGCCCCGAGTCAGGCTCCCAGGGAGCCTCCTTCTCCCTCTGCCTGCAGCTCCGCCCAACCCCCCCACCCCCCACTTAGGCTTTCTGTCAAATAAGTAAAATCTTAAAAAAAAAAAAAAAAAAAAGAGAGAGTAACAAAAAATGGGATATGAAATGGGAGCAGGAAGGATGACCAGAATCTCTTCAGGTCTGTTTGAAAGCCAAGCCTGTGGCCCCCTGAACCAGGCTGCTGCCCCCCCACCCTGGTACCAGCACAGCCTTTGGTACTTCAGTCAGTCAATAAATGTTTGAAGGAATGAATGAGAAAACTATACCACATTTTACCAGGGATGTTTCCTCTCCAAAATGCAAAATCCTAACAAAAATTTCTCCAGACCCTAGTCTTCTGCTGATATGGAAGGAGACCCACAGAGGGGAGCAGCCACTTTCATTTGTTTTTTTCTTTCTTTTTAAAGTAGGCAGCGCGCCCAGTGTGGGCCTGAACTCACGACCCCGAGATGGAGGGTCACACGCTCCACCGACTGAGCCAGCCAGGCGCCCCCAGCCACTTCCATTTGAATCCACATTTCCCTGCACACCTAGGCCAGTCTCTGGCCCTCCTGGCAACTCTCCTGCCGGGCTCATTTTCCTCAGCGGGCCAATAACAAAATGCTGCCACAGGGTGGCGCCAAAAGAAGTCGAATGCAAAACTGAGCTGAAGCTCCAGGAGGAGGGGAGGAGGGGACGTGGGAACGAGGGGAGTCACCCTGTTGGCAGCGTCCACTTTGGCACAGACTGCATCCATGGCTGCTCGTTCCTCCAACCGCTTCTGCTTCTTCTCCTTCGCTTTGCTTGACTTCCTCTGCAACAGGGAAAAGCAAAGTTGGCTGGAAGGGCTGTGGCCGACCAAAGACTGGGCTTTCCCTTTGAGGAACCTTAGAGTCAGTCCCTGAGCCCACAGGCCTGGCCCCAGCGGCAACAACTTCCAATCCTGACTGCTGCACACTTGGCGGGGTGGGAAAGATGCAAGCGTTTTCTGGTCGTGAGAGCTCGGGAGCATCACCAGACTCCTCAGCTTCCTTGTCGGAAAGAGCACTGACCCTGAGGACTGCTGGGTCACTGTGAGGACCCAGTGAGAGCATATGACAATGCCTGCAAGACAGCCTGGCCCCCAGCAGGTGCCTAATAAATATGCACTCACCCATTCCCTCCTAAGGAAGGAACAACTAATTTTAGACACATTCAGGGCAGGTTTCAAGGAGGAGATGGCATCTGAGGTAGCCGCTGAGAGCTGTTCTAAGGATAAGTTTATTCAAAGCCTTCCCCGTGTCTGCCAGCTTCCAGAGACAAAGATCTGGTCTGGGGGAGCCCCTCTGGGAGCTGGGTCCCCTTTCTAAGCTGAGACCAGGGCACTCTGGCTTAAGAAGACAGAACTGTTCCCCAGAAGCGCTGCTCGGCCAAGGGCAATGAGCGGCAGGCACACTGCACACCTAGTATCTACAAGGGCGGAGTGAAGGTCCTCAAGGGGTTCACCTGGGGACAGAGGCCATGCTGACACATGGTGTGCAAGGCCACGGTGCAGGGCACACAGCGGCGGGGGGGGGGGGCAAAGGGAGAGTGTCTGTGCACAGAAGCATCCATGGCAAAGTACCCACAACTGCATACAGAGCAAATTCTATTTTATGGCTCCCGTGGGGTTCTCTCAGGCCTACACGGACCCTCTTGCCCTCCTGTAGAAAGCTAGGAACAGAGGAAAAAGAGCCCACGTGCTGGAATCTGACAGACCTTAGCCAGAACCTCTTCCTGCTCTTCAGAGTGGTGTTCGGGCAACACCCAGTCCTTCTCTGTGTCTCCCTCCCTCATCTGATGAATGAGGTCAGTGAGGCTCTCATCAAACCTTCTCTGAGGTGGGAGGCCGGGGAGACTTACCCGGGCATGTGCTCACTCATTCTCACTCCCAAGGAACACGGGAGCGGCACATGCATCCAGAGTGGCTCGCCGCCCCCCCCGCCCCCCGCCAAGCCAGCCCAAATCCCGAAGGCACCCAAAGGCACTGGCGGAGGGCTCTGCTTTCTTACCCACCTCACTGCCTCTTCTGACTCCACCTCTGGGTTTCCTGAGCTCACCAGAGAGGCTGTACTCCCTACAACTGCACCTTAGCTCCGACGCCGGCACCAGCAAAGGGGGAGTCGAAAAACCAGATGCTGGAAAACTTTCTCGGGATAATTCTACCCTCAGCTCTCCAAGGAATAACACTGCCTAACTCATTTCAGGAGGCGAGAGGGATGGCTCTTCTAGGTGTAAACTCGCCCAACGCCAACTATTTTACCCTTTATCCTTCCACTGTGCTGGAAGTCCGGCTGGATCCCATTCCTTACCTCCCTCAAGGAAGGAGCAAACAGAAGAGAACAGACTGTTTTCGTAACACTAGGACTGGAGGGGACAGAACCAGCCCCCCTCGACCACACACAGGTTGTAGAGCACCCATCTTCTTCTCTGGGAATTTGAGTTTCAAAACAACACCGAGAGATACACTCAGCTCACAAAGTACTTTGCAAACATCTGCTTCAATTCTCGGGGCAAAAACCAGCACCTCCATTCCCACGTGAGGAAACCTAGGCTCAAAGGGACGGTGCGACTTTAGTGGTCCCCCACGAGTAAACAGCAGAGGGGGACCGAATCCCGGGAGTTGGGCCAGCTGTTCCACCAGCCCTGCTGTCCCCCAAGGGGAAGGCCAACATCCACGTCAAAAGACCTTCCTTCTCAGTCCTGCCAAGATAAAGTTCAGAGCTCAGGAGCCGTCAAGGTAGCGATTCATCGCTCACCACGCTTCTGGCTCGGTGATGGCCGACGGGCCGGCCCAGTGCTGCCCCAGGCCCAGTGCTGCCCCAGGCCCTACGTCTCCACGGAGGGAGGGGTAAGAAGACCCGAGGCAGCCGGCCTCCGGGAAAGAACAGGAGCCCCGGCATCCCTCAGGCCAGGCCCGAGCCCCTCCCACCGCCCCCGCGCGGCCTGTGAAAGCAGGGCCACCTCTGGGAAAACGGGGACACGCGTGGAAGGACGGGTCAGAGGTCACCGTTACAGCAGAGGCAAGCCCCCCTCCTCCACCCTGCACACTAGTTCTCCCCTCACACAGCACAGAGCAGAAAAGATCAAAGGTGCTGGAAGGAAAGTGTGACTCCCGGGACCCAGACAGCACTGAAACGTGGGTTCCCGCCACAGCATCTCGTTTCTAAGCCCATGAAGAAAGTAATTCCTAAGCACAGCAGTAGGAGGGCCAACCCCCGGCCCCCAGGAGATTTATGGGCTCATTCATGCAAGGGGACAGGCCGGCCAGACAATCGTCAGAGCGAGGCTCGGGGCTGCCATGGCCCGAGACGGCAGATAATGGAAGAGACCCCTAAGTGCTTCGCTGCCTGCACATGGGGTATGTGGCAGGCTGCAGCAGGCCAGGGCAGACAGGCAGGGGCTCTCCCTCAAACCTAGCACACATTAGGAAAAGTGGTCTCCTACTGTTCCAATTAGCTTCGCCCTGCCTCGTGGAGGTAAGGCTATCCTGCAGGGACACAGGAAAATTCTCCTAATTAAAATGGGAAATAAGCACAGTGAACAGTAAAGCTCATTGTGGTTAAGTGTCTTTCCCAAGGGAGCTTTATATAATAAAAAGAGTGTGGGATTTTGAGTCAAGAGACTTGGATTTGATTCTCAGCTCTTCCACTTAGTAGCTGTGTGACTTTGGGCAAGTTACTTAATCTCTTTTCAGCAAGTTATTTAGTTTCTCTGGATCTCAATCTCCTCATCAGTAAAAGGGGGCTAACAGTGCTCATACCTCACAGGACTGCTGTGAGGACAAAATGATACAATGTACCAGATATAAAAAATAAGGACTTCTGTTTACAAGGATCCACCAGTGTCACACACTCTGCTAATGCTTTCATAAAGAGGCTTTATTTTAAATAACAAGTTATGTGTGCCCACTTCTTCGATGAGAAAACTGAGGAACAGAGAGGTTAGAGAACTTTCAGGGTCACAGAGCCAGTGAAGAGAATTCTCAAAGAGGTCTCTCCCTACCACCCTCTCCCTCCACTCTACACCAGACTGCAACACTCCATGAGGGAGAGGTCACATTGGCTTCATCTGTCAATGTACACCCAGTGCTCAGCAAACAGTAGGTACTAAGTCCATAACTGTTGAATGAATCATCCAAGATTCAAATCCAGGTTTGAACCCTAAAATCCACACTTCTTCCACAACATCAATTACATGTACACAGCACTTTTTATAAAGTGTGACATAAGTGTTTTCACACGCAGCTGTGAAACCCCTCCCCCTGCTCTGCCTCTCGAAGTAGCATCTCCACATGCAGTTAGGACTGCCAGGTCACACAGAGAAATTCAAAAACAAAAAGCACACAGATGGGGGCAGGAGGCACCTTTCAGAAAAGAGATTTGGCGTCTCTTAAATTTTCAGTGTCAATACCTTCACCCCACAAAGTATCCAGGATCCAGAAAAAAAACCTCCGTTTTTGGTGAAGGGAGCCAGAGATCTACACTCTAATTCCTAAAAGACAACACATCTGTGGCAGCAAGGGTGAAAGAACTTTGAAGAGAAGGGTGTTCCATCTGATGCTTCTCTCTCTTAGCCTGAGGTTATCTGTCAAATGGAGCAGGGCCCTCCCACAGATGGTGCTCACCACAAACACTGACCTTCCTGACACTGAGGTGGGGAGTCCACAGCCCCCATCCAGGAGGAATGAGGATAATGACACGGTTCCAGCATTGTTTCAGGGAGGAAGATTCAAGTTTCTCTTTTTTGCAGAGTTTTAGGCCAGAAGAGACTAGGCAGGGGCCGTTCTGAGAAACACATCTGTAGAGTATGAGCAATAACGTGGAGGCCCTAAAGGAAGCAAGGGTCGCAGTATCTCTGAGTCTTGCTCTTTCAACTCAACCAATGAGGAAGTGTTGAACAAGAATGGCATGTTATGCTTCTTGTTTGCTGCTCAGTCTGTAGTGGCTGATGCTGGGTAGACACTTACCGACTGATGCCAGGGACACAGATTTTTACCTCATTTCAACAAGAGCTGAGGTTTGGGAACTTTCACCAAAACCTGGGTTAAATATGCCTAAGGTCTCCAGACTTGATTCTCTACATACGAAGTACATAGTACCCCAAATTCCTTGCTGAAACAAGATGAAAGTGTTTCAACGCAGATTACATAAAGTGCTTCGACATGGATTAGACGACTAGTTTTGTCTAAGTTGATTTGTTCAGTCAATAACTACTTGAGTGAGAAAATCTAGGTTAACAACAGGAGGGACAAACCAATGGGTTAAAAATAGCACAAATCTATTTTAGATAACTACAATAAAAGTGAGAATACAAGCAAAAACAACAGCCATGATCTGCATCCACTACCTCATTTAATTCTCACATATATGGGGGGCGGGTATCATCACCCACATTACATAGAGGAGGAAATTCAAATTCAGAAAGGCCACCTCACTGACACAATATCATGCTGCTAGCCAGGAAGATGGGGCTGGAACTGAGGTATCTCTGGCTCCCAAATCAGGGCTTCCTAAAGGTGGTGAAAATTCCCGGTAAAAACTAACCTACACAGTACCAGGGAGGGCCAGTTCCATTTTCAGGAGAGTGACTGATACTACTCTAACTGGAACTTAGGAAGGTGAACTCACAGAAATATTTGAATAACTTCTACCCAGCCCTCTATCGGCACATGCCAGGGAAGGGCGCACCTCCGGGCTGCCTCACACAGAACAGGTGGTCACTATCCATCTGCGGCTGAAGCCATCAGACAGCCCCCCCCCCAAATCAATCCCCTCCCTGCTCACCTTCTGCACCGCTCCCCCATGCAAAGCCACCCGCAGCACTTAAGACTAACGACCCAAGTAATAATCAAAACCACTGTTGCATCTGGGAGGCCTAGAGAGCAGGCCTCCGTTGGAAGGGAAGAGGGCGTTTTAGGAGCAGGAGGAACCTGGTGGAGAGGTTTGGAAAGAGTGTAGGGGAACCGGCTTCAGCGAGAATCCGGGTAGCGGGCAAAGCAGCCAGTGGCCGAGGGCTGGGGAGGCCCGAGGCAGGGTCTGGCCCCTGCTCACTGCCTGTGTGACCTTGGCTGGGAGCCTCTTCTCTGGGCCTCAGTTCCCTGCAAGCCAGGGGAGGCCTAGGATGTGGGAAGCCGTGAAGCAGGTGACAGCCAGGTGATGGGTGACCCCTGGGGGTGGGGGGGTACCCCAGGGACCGCGGGGGCTTAGGGGGTGGCCAAGAGGATAACAGGTCAGCCAGGAAGGCGGGGGGGGAGGGCGCGACGCGAGGGGCGGGGGACACCCAAAGGGGTGGGGCCCGGAGAAGGGGGCTCCCCAAGGGATCCCCAGGCTGCGCCGAGCGTGGGGAGCTTAGAATGTGGGAGTCGGGTCATGTGGGGGTTGGGGGTCACGTGAGGCCGGAGGGGGTCGGGGGTCACGTGAGAGGGGGTTCACGGAACAATGGGGGCGCAGGGGGCGAGGGGAGCGGGGAGCGCTGCCGGCCCTCGCGTCTCCTCTCCCTGCCTCACTCACCCCCATGGCGGCAACGGCGGCGGCGGCCCTCAGCTCCTCCTTCCCACACTTGCCGGCAGGGAGGCGGTAACGGCGGCAGCGGCGGCGGCAGCGGCACCAGCGCGGCGGCGGGCCCCGCACCGCGCATGCGCTTCGCGGGCTCTCCTGCGCGCCCTGGCGGGCACCGCGCCGGCGCAGAGCGAGGGAGGGCGCGAGCGGGGGAAGCGCGCAGGTGGAGAGCGGGGGAGGCGGGCCGAGGGTCTCGCACCCGAAAGAGGCGGGAGGCGCGGAGCAGCGTCGCGCTGGGAATGACGTAGCCCCCGGGCCCGCCCCCTCCTCTCCTGGCTGTGTCTGTAGCTATGGCAACGGCCGCGCCTGGCCGGGAGAAGCGCGCTGCCAGGCAGCCGGGTGTGTGGCGGCGGTAACCCCTGCGCACCTCCCCTCCGCGGCCGGCCCGGCCCGCGGCCGCCAGCAGAGCAGCCACCCTCGCTCAGGACCAAACGCGTCGTGACCTCGGAAGCCCCAGCCCCTCCTGCAACCCTCGGGCACAGGGGGAACTCTTTGTAAACGTTCCCACCTTCGAGATCTTGAACTCTTGAAATTCCTTCTCTAACCAGAGTCCCGTTATTTATTCATCCGTCTTCTATTCATTCACTCTCCATTCATTCGCTCTGAGTCTCAGAAAACATTTACCAGCGTCTACGCTGTGCTGAGCCCGGGGGCCACAGAGAGGAGCAGTCCAAAACTTCACTGTTTAGAGGGGAGACAGGCATGGAACAATTGTTTAATGGAGAGTGGGTGGTGCTGTGGAAATGAGGTCTCAGGCGTCCAGTCCGTCCCAGCAGACCAGTCCCTGGGGAGCTGTGTGCCCTGTACACACCCCTGCGCCCTACCTCAGGATTGATCTCCGGGGGTGGAGCCAGTCTCCTGAGAGCGCCCCAAGGAGAGTCATACTTGCGAAAATGAGACCACCACTGCCCAAGACTTAAGCTTCATAGACTTCGTCAGGTTTGGCTCATGATCCCATCTTCAGTGCTCAGTGCAGTAGTGGCCCCAAAACGGGTGCTCAAACAAATAGCCACCATAGGCTAGGCAATGCCCCCCGCAGCAAAGAAAACAACCATAACATAACAGAAAAGGTACTGCCCTCACAGAACTTGTCTGCTAAAAGGAGGAGGTAGATAATAAACTAAACAGGTAAAATCTATAAAAAGGTAGAGGATACCGTTTTTATGGAAGAAAATAAAGCAGGGAAAGATAGGAAAGGTCAGGACTTAGTGCTTTAACTAGGGTACTCAGGGAAGGCAAACACGAGGTAACATTTGTATCAAGATCTGAAGGAGGGATGGGAGCAAGTCATGGATACCTGAGGGTCTTCCAGGCTGGGGGTACAGCTAGTGCAAAACTCCCCAAGCAGGAACATGATTGGAATGTTTGAGGAACTGCAAGAAGTTAAGTGCAGTGTGGCTGGCGCAGAGTGAGCCAGTGGGAGATTAGTAGGAGGTAAAATCAGACAGGTAGGGAGAGGATCATTTATAGGGTTTGTACATTTTGTTTTGTTTTTTAAGTAAGCTCTGCCCCCCCCAACATGGGGCTTGAACTCACAACCCTGAGATCAAGAGTCACATGCTCTACCAACTGAGCCAGCCAGGTGCCCTAGGGCTTAGAGGTTTTGAAAGACTTTGGGACTAGAGGGAGCTGGGACACCACTGGAGGGTCTGAGTGGAGGAGCCATGGAGTGGCTTTTGTGCTCATAGGACCACCTGACTGCTGGGTTGGGAAGAGAGTGTAGGGGCAAGGTCACAGGAGGGCATTTGCAGAGGCCACTGCTCCAGTCAAGGCGAGAGCAATGAAGCTTGTAGCAGGTGGACAGTGCTGCAAGTGGGAGAAGCAGTCAGGGCCTGGTGTGTATTGAAGGTAGAACCAATAGGCCTTGCCAGTGGCCTGGGTGTGGGATGTGAGGGAAAGAGAAGAGTAAGATACTTTTCGAGGTTTTTTGTTTGTTTTTTAAAGATTTTATTTATAGGGGCGCCTGGGTGGCTCAGATGGTTGGACATCTGCCTTTGGCTCGGGTCGTGATCCCAGGGTCCTGGGATTGAGCCCCATATCGGGCTCCTGGCTCGGCGGGGAGCCTGCTTCTCCTTCTCCCTCTGCCTCTCCCCCTGCTCGTGCTCTCTATCTCGGTGTCTCAAGTCAATAAATAAAGATTTTATTTATTTGAGGGGCGCCTGGGTGGCTCAGTTGGTTAAGCGACTGCCTTCGGCTCAGGTCATGATCCCGGGGTCCTGGGATCGAGCCCCGCATCGGGCTCCCTGCTCGGCGGGAAGCCTGCTTCTCCCTCTCCCGCTCCCCCTGCTTGTGTTCCCTCTCTCTCTGTCTCTCTCTCTCTCTCTGTGTCAATTAAATAAATAAAATCTTTAAAAAAAAATAAAATAAAAAAAGATTTTATTTATTTGAGAGCGAGAGAAAGGGCATGAGGTGGGGGGGGTAGGGTGGGCAGAGGAAGAGGGAGAAGCAGGCTTCCCACTGAGTAAGGAGCCCAACCTGGGGCTGAATCCCAGGACCCTGGGATCATGACCTGAGCCAAAGGCAGATGCTTAACCAACTGAGCCACCCAGGTGCCCCCCTTTCAAGGTTTTTAGCTTGTGCTACGGGAAAGGTGGAGAGTCTTCAATGGAGACACAGGCAACTTTGGAAGGAGCAAGATGAGAGCAGAGCTGGGAAAGATCAGGAATTCGGTTTTGACTATGTCAGGTTTGAGATGTCTTTTGTACGTTCACATAGAGATGTGGAGTGATCAGAGTCTGGAACTCAGGGGGGAGAAGTCCAGGCAGGAGACACAAATTTCAGCGCAGCCAGAGTGTGATGGTATTTCAAGCTGGACGATACTGCAGAGGAATGTAGGTAGACTGGCATGAATGAATCTTTCAGCCTGCACCCTATTCCTCGGTCAGAAAATCTGCTTGCTAGGGGTGCCTGGCTGGCTCTCTGAAAAGCATGTTACTCTTGATCTCAGGGTCATGAGTTCCAGCCCCACATTGGGTGTAGAGATTACTAAAAACTAGAAAGAAAAAGAAAGAAAGAAAGAAGAAAGGGAAGGGAAGGGAAGGGAAGGGAAGGAAAAAGGAAAGGAAAGGAAAAAAACCTGCTTGCTAGTACTCTGGGGACCAGAAGAGGGAGCTGAGGGTGGAAAAGGTGGGAAGAGGGGACTTGTGAACTTGCCCTTGAAGGAGGAGGAGGCAAGGAGATTCCAGGGGGAGGGAACAGTATTTGCAGAGCCAGGGAAGCATGAAGGAGTGGGCCAGGGTGTTTACAGAGGGAGGAGGGGCAAGGTGGGAATCGGGCTCAACCCCCACTCCAGAGCAGTCCCCACCCTGTTTCCGCTTCCCTTGTCTCCTTACCCACTTTGAACTTCAAGGTCAGCTGTTTTGGGGAACAGATAGATACCTGCCATCATGATTGCCTTGTGCCCTGTCTCTTCTACCACTCCTCACTCTTGGGTCTGCCCTCCCCCTGGCTGCTGGAATTTGCTGGACACCTGACAAAGCCTGGGAGGTGAGCCCAGCAGTCCCTTGGGCAGGTGACATCATCTGGGTCCCTGAGAGGCCTGAGAAGGTCCAATGCCCTATCTCTGCCCTACATCAGTATCCTTCCCCCTGATTATGGGCTCTTCTTTGCTAGGGGCTTCCTTGGTTTCCTTTGGGGGAGGACTGAGCCTGCTTTGGAGTCAGACCAGCCTGGGTTTAAACTCTCTCTCGGCTACATAGGAGCTTTGTGACTTTAGGTCAAGTGCCTCAAGAATCAGAGACTCAACGCCTGGGTGGCTCAGTCGTTAAGCGTCTGCCTTCGGCTCAGGTCATGATCCCAGGGTTCTGGGATCGAGCCCCACGTCGGGGCTCCCTGCTCTGTGGGAAGTCTGCTTCTCCCTCTCCCACTCCCCCTGCTTGTGTTCCCTCTCTCACTGTTTCTCTCTCTGTCAAATAAATAAATAAAATCTTAAAAAAAAAAAAAGAATCAGAGACTCAGTTTCCTTATTTCTACAGTGAGACGACCCACAGCAATCATTTTCCTCACAGTCTCATGTTCTCCCAGGCAGGTTGGGAGAATTACAGGAGATCAAATGAGATGGGCTGCAGGAAGGCACCTGGCATGGCCAGGGGCAGGAAAGGAATTCCCTCCCAAGGTACAGAAGTTCATCTCCCCACCCCATTTCTACCCCTTCCTGCCTCCCCTCCCTGACAAACCTCTGCCCCTTTAGACCAGGATGTCTACACTGTCTCATAAGCCACTCCCGGGCAACTTTCCCACTCTCCTCTCACACCCCTCTGCACAGGGCCACTGTCTGCTCCTCTCTCCCAGGCCCTGCACCCCTCCTGCCTGCGTCCAGGACCCTTCTTCCTCCAGGTCCTCCCAAGACAGCCACTCCCCGAAACACTGTGCTTTGCCCGCCCCTTGCCCTATGGCCCTCAACTGCTCCCAACTAATTATTCGTTTGCCCAATGGAGGCAAGGAGACTGCATGGGCTCTGTTTTGCCTTCTGTACTGGGGAACAGTCTCCCGGGAGACAACACCAGGGGCCGGTGGGTCACAGCACAGCTGGGGCGAGGCTGACTTTGTGGAGTGTCATCACCCGGTAGGGGAGAGTCCCTGGATTTCCCAAAAAGAATCTGAATGTGCCTCCACCCTCCCCTTCCTGCCACCTGGGGAGCTGAGCCTCCTGCAGGGCCAGGCCTCCCTGGGCCTCCTCCCTTCAGGGCCCCTCCCTTCCCTCCACCAGCCTTCCTCAACCCAGCTCTCTCCTGCCTTCAGGACGCTCTCCCTACTCAAAAACCTTTGGGAAAAATGGCCTCCCTTATCTCTACCTTCTTGCTTCTCACACTGCTCCCTCCTCAAGGCTCTTCCTTAGCAGGTAGTCTTCTATTCCTACCGCCCCGCAGAAGTCTCTCCCTGATGCTTCCAGCAGTTTGCCAATGGACAGGCCTCAGTCCCTCTTTCTGGACCTCCCTGCAACATCTGTTGTTCCCTCCTCCTTCCTTGAAACACCGTTCTTTCCTTGGCCTTTGTGATACCACGCAGCCCCCCCCCCCCGTTTCAGTGAAGCATTCTGAGGTCCCAGCCTCCATTAGGGGT